CGGGGATGAATTGGTGTCCAAACGATCAGTCTATGGGAGGAATTGAGGTCAAATGGTTGCCGATCGCTCCGGATTAGTTGGCACATATGTTTTTGAGGCCGCTCCTCAAACACATTATTGCAACTAGCTCGTTCCATTTAATCTATTTCATCCATCATTTTCCAGCACAGTAGGGAGGCTTTTTGTCCGAATTCATTTTTCAAAATGATATGAGATTCATTTTCGTTTAATAATTCTGATTGAGGTTACAACTCGCTCACTTTTCACTTCCCACTGATTTTCGATCAGTGAAATGTCGAAACCCGCCTTACGTGCTACCTAGTAGAAGCTGAATTTATGTAAAAACAAGTGACTGCAAAAAAACCTAACTGCGTTCATCTTTGATATTCACCGCTTTCTTACTAAATAAATTTCTGTGTAGTGAATTTTTGTTTGCATTCTTAATTTGCATTAGTGCGGAATATTTTCAGCTGTACTTAAGCAATGTTTGTAAGAGATGCCGATGTGTTGTTGCTAGCCGCTATTTCCAGCTTCACGTTTCCTGAAGGTTCATATATTCGATGCTCTTTTATTTATCTTTAAATCTTACTGATTTTGTTTTACCTTCCCTACTAGCATGTTTTTTCCTTACTTGCTGTACCCTTGATTCATGTCTGCTTTTTTGTTAAAAACTTTGATACTTTGACCAGCTGTTGATTCATCACCATGTGTTTTTCTGCCATTACAGGAGTTAGCCGATTTAAAAAATTTAAAAAAGCAATTTGCATTCGCTTTTACACCATCAGCAGTTCTTCAAAATAAGGTAGCTTTCAGGTGCAATTAGTCTAGAATGCTATATTTGCGGTGATGACAATCTGGATGAGCACGGAGAATGTCAAGCACAGTTTCAGTATGACTGTACAAGCTATGCAAAAGCTTTTGAGCCGACTGAAGCCATTTTTTGCCGGACAATGAGGAAGCGAGCAAGCAATGGTAAGGCTGGGAATTATGAATGTGGTTATAAAACCCAAGCTGGAACGCACCAGGCTGGATCATGCGGTCATGCGTTTTTGCACCGGTTTTGAAGCACTCAGGTCATTAACTGCATGAATGGCTGTTGTTTCACACATAGCTTTTGCAGTCACTAGCATGAATCACTGTAAATTTTGCAAAGTAAATGTGCAATTTCCATTTAACAGTCGTTCTTTAAAAGTAATCCAGTTGTTCAATGAGAAATTTTTCCACCAAGATTTTTGCCACACGTAAGAACCAAGCGTACCTCAATCTGAATCTGAAATACTTAAGATATGCTTGGACAAGGAACATTCCCCGAAAATTTCAGCTTTCTAGCTTTCCTCGTTACCGAATTAGCAATTTTCCCGCCAAAACGTTCACACACCCGTAAGTGAGTACTCCACGTGTCTTAAAAGCTGAATTGGAAATTTTTAAACTGCACTTGGACAGGGAACATCCCTTTAAAATTTCAGCCTTCCGGCTCTTCTGGTTGCTGAGTTAGTAATTTTTCTGCGGAAACTTTCATACGCCCTTAATTGAGTACCACGTATAACTTGGGGCTGAATTTGGAATATTTGAGTTGTACTTGGGTAGGGAACATTCCCTCAAAATTTCCTAGCTTTCCTAGTATCCGAATTAGCAATTTTCCCCTTAAAACTTTCATACGCTCTTACATGAATACCACCCATACCTGGGGGCTGAACTTGAAATCTTTAGCTAGTATATGCACAGGGAATATTCCTATAAAGTTTCAGCCCCACAGCTCATGTGGTTCCCGGTTTACCTATAAATTTCCAGCCTCACAGCTCATTTGGTTCCCGATCTGAGATCACTTTCCCGCCAAAAAATTTGCTTATTTTTTTAAAGTGTCCATAGGCGACACCAGGAGTCCGCGAGGAATGAAAATAAAATGGGAGGGTCGCGCATGGTATAGGCACATATCTCCAAAATTTCAACCTTCCAGCTTTTCTGGTTCTCGAGTTGAATGTGAGTGACAAAAAGTGCGAACACGCAGACACACACACAAAAACACACACACATTCTGCCTTCCTCAATGTGGGTTTTTGCAATTTGCGTAAATGCAAAGACGCATAAAAAGTGTGAGGAATGATTAGAGTGCCGAAGAGAATGCAATTTGATGGGCGGCTTATTAAGGCAGGAACAACAGTCGCTTAAGAAGGCCCCAAAATAAATGATCACCCTTAAATTGCGCAAAATTTAGCACAAAGATAGGAGCTTGGCCATTACAGTCTAGCGCTGGCAAACACTGAGATTGAAAAATACAAGAGCAATAATTACTACGCTGATTTTAAAATCACAGGTAGCTATACCATCATGAAAGAATGTATCAGCGAAACTGACCATTACCGCATATTTCCACTGAAGCAATATGCAGTGACGGAAGAATGTGATCTAACTGATGTATCTGGTGAGGAGCTTGCTTACTGCCTCTGTAGCCAGGATTTATGCAACGCAAAGGATATCGTTGACCAGTTCATCGATTTCGAAGAAGTACTTTTCATTTATTAATAAATCAGGCAAAAATCGCACTATGGCGAGATCGTTCAAGTATGAATGTGCTGTCTATTTGTGCAACTCAGCTTCAAGAAGCTAGTAAGCTTAAATTTTATTAACAATTCACTTTTCCTGGTGGTTATGATTTAACGGTGAAAAGCGAGGCTTTCTAACTAAAAATCATGGTCAGAGGGCAATGCAAAAACACATCTTGTGGAGAATTTCTTTGTGTGCGCGTGTGCCTCTGCACTTCTCGATTTCCAACTCTACTAAAGACGTAAAACTAAAATTTAAGCGACTTGACTTAAATTTGTCCTAAAATTGGAAAAATTTCTCACGTACAGGCACGAGGAAGATATTTGAATAAGGAGAAAATATCGGGAGCAGTCAAGCTATGAAACTGATATTTCACGGAAATGTTTCCAGCATATAGTGTGTCCCAAAGTTTTTAAATTCGACCTTTATGCAAATCTCGCTTGTGGAAATGTCAAAATTCAAGTTGACACACTGTCAGCAGTAAGCAAATTGCTTAAAATGCTACAACTTTACGCAGATATTTGCTGTCCAAGGATATCTTGATAAGCTTTCTCTTTACAATCCCATTTCGCCTACTCTATTATTTTCCTCATAAATCCCGTGTACGAGAAAATACAACTTGACACTGATAATTTTGTAAATTCGCCACCAAAATAGATGGAAAGCTGAAAAATTGTGTGCATGTTTCAAGCCAAACGCGGGTAACCAAACATGAAATGCGTGGGTAACTCTTGGATGAGGACACATGAAATATAATGCACGCAGGTAGCCTCTTAACAATAAGTGATTTTGCATTTCATCAATGATGCAATGAAGCATAAGATCTCCCCTCTATGCCTTTCTTTCCTCTTGTTCCACTATTATAGTATGTATTTGGGCATTTTGTTAGAATTTCTAATTTTCGAAGCAGCCTGTCAGATTTATACTACTGCTTTTGAACATCACTTCAGAGGCATCCGGAAATTTTCGGCTCAATGAACAGTGAAGCAGAGACTGGCGAAAAGACATTTGAACAGTTTTCAGCGAATGATTTTGAGGAGAAACGATTTTCTCCATTGCAAAATGCCCAACAGGTTTCATTTATAGTCTTGCAAGATAAGTGCTACACATTACAGAACAACATGTAAGATTTGCTGACGAAACCATACTGCTGTTTTAAAGTCTCCATAACATCCGTGAAAAGCAAAGGCACTCCCTGTTGGCTAACAGATCGCGCATTCGCAAACAGCAGTTCTTCTTTAACAAGCTTCCGAGCGTTCGTAGAGCGGATTTCTGTCGCGAAGCAGAAAAATAAACTGTACGAGAAGGATAGTCAATTAGTCCCCACTATCCGGCCAACACCACGAAATTATCATAAAGGATCGAATATCGTTGAGGGATCGTGTTTTGCTAGCTGTCGCTTAGAAACTAGAATTGAGTCTCAGGAGGAATACTGAACCGTAGGGTTACTACTACTAAGAAAATGGAGGAAAAACCAGATGTTTTAAGATCGTGACCCTTTGCAAGGCACTAGCTTTCAGTGTGGCCAACAAGTTGCTGAAACGTTTCGACGTTTCGTGAACTCTCTTAATTATAGATTGTTGAACAAACTTTTAGCATTTTGCAATATGCTGATTTTAGATGAAAAACAATGCAGTTCGAAAACTGCAGAAGCCTGCTGCTTTTTCTGGCGGGCAATTTCATAGTGAAGTTGAAGAAGAATATCCACAGTATGAGGACACTGTGTCGCAACAGCTACGCAGCACCACACGTAAGCTTAGTATGCTGCAGAATAAATTAATGCACGTAGAGCCCGCAGTGCCTGTCCTCTCATTTCATCTTTTCAATTTCTACTTGCAGAACCTTATTCTCTTTCTCGCTTTTTCTGGTGTGAGCTAAAACTCCGTCACATTTCCACTTCTGACAACACTACAGCTTTGTGCTGAACAAACCTGGTTGTGGAAGGTAAGATATCGTGAACATTTTCTCAAAAGATGAATGATGATAAGTTTTTAAAGCTGGCTGCGGAAAATAACCAGTTTTCATGACAATTTAGGATCGCTAGTTTCTGCACCTATGCCTCAGCGGTCCAATGACAACAAGCCGATCGTGTCGATTGGTAGTACCGATGCACGCAGACACAATCGAAGTAGGTCTGTGTTTTTTCTCTTACTAACCTCTAGTTTTTCTTAAAACATCGAGACAAAAATGATATTACTGGCGATGCTCACCAAGCAGCCCGTACGACTATGCGTTTTTGCAGTATTTCGTGCTGTAGTGAGATCAGGCGGAAACCCAGTAGCTAGAAATCGTGACACATGTTCCTCTAAATTCGGGAAATTAATTGTACAACTACGTAGTACTTGGTTAAGAAAAATCCTATCAAAATTTTAGCCTTCCAACTTTTCTGGTTTCCGAATTAGCAATCTTTCCGCCAGAAATATTCGCGGGGCCATATTTGAGAACCATGCATGTCTGGAGGATGAATTTGACTTTTGAGTTCTACAGGATCGGGGCACAATCCCATAAAATTTCAGCTTTCTAGCTTTTCTGGTCCCCGTGTTAGCAATTTTCTAGATAAAAATTTTTCCATACTTGAGAACCGTGCACGCCTAGGGGCTGAGTTCGAAATCTTTGAGTTCTACGTGGGTGGGGAACATACCCTGAAAATTTCAGCTTCCAAGCTTTTCTGTTTACCGAGCTAACGATTTTTCTCTCAAAAACTTTCATGAGCCGTACTTTAGTACCACGCGTAACAAGTTGAAATACCCGGACACACACACACACACACACA